TCCAATCAGCCGGCACCTAAAGTTGCTACTCCCGCGCCTAAACCTGCCAACGCACATTATCCTACGACGTTGTACAACCATGGCCAGGCGAGCGGCTCTGGAGCAACTCTTCAGCACCAACGTCCCCATGTTGCGCTTCCATCCGCCGCCTCGACACCGGTGCCTGCGATCCCGACAGCAACGCGTACAATCATTCACTCGTCGTCGAGTTCGCCTGCACCACAGCCGACAGCTCATCCGCTACAGAGCGCGACCCTCACGATTTCGCCCAGCTCGCGTCTGCTACGTCTCGACGTGGCTGATGGCGTGCGCACATGGGCCGTACGATTGGCACCCGGAGAGCGGGTGCTGCGTGTCGGCGAGGTCACATACCTGAATGAGGAAGGAGAAGATGGCAGTGAGAGCGACAGTGCCCCTGCCGATAGTGACGCTGAGATGTCGGACGCGTCACCTGCACCCGCACCGACTCGGGGGCGAGGAAGGGGTCGTGGCCGCGGGCGTGGCCGAGGACGAGGTCGTGGTGCGAAGAACGCCGGGTCTGTCCGGGTTAAGGATGGCGTGAAGGTTCCGCCGCGCAAACAGACGCCTGAGACGGCTGTCAAGTTCGATAAGGTGGAGATCGCGCTCGCTGAGGGAGAGGATGAATGGGTGGTCCCGATGGACCTTGGTTCCCATGTGCTGGAGGTTGGTGAGAAGGGCCAACGCGGGTGGAAGGTGTATGTTACTGTCCCACCTGTCTGATGCTTGAGCTCTTATTCTGAATATCTCGCTTCGCTTTACAAACGCTGTCTTGTTTGCTCTGTGGGCTCGTTACTTTAAGCTCGTTCTCTTGATTATTTGGTAGGCTATATCGCATGCAGTGAAAGGACACGATGTCACAGTATATCATACGTTCCAATTTACGTTCCAGTGTTCGTCGCCGAAGAGATTGTACATGACCGCAACATCTCGGAGCTCGTGCGGCGTGAGATTCTTCTTCGTGCGAGCAATGATGCTCCCGTCGGTACCGCGATCGAACGCCCACGACTCGTACCCGGCCTGGAAGAGACGTAAGGTGGGGCAGTATATTGCGAAGAGGCGGGGTAAGAAATCGGAGGCAGTGTCCTCGAGGTCGTCGCGACTATCAGGATAGGAGACTGTGACTGATGGTTCCCGGCCATATGAGATTTGGCTTCGGAAATCTGACCACTCCTCCCAGGCCGCGCAACTCAACTCTGAACGGAGCTACTGTCTGACCCCACCAGCGTCGTTGATCATTTGACCACAGCCGTTCTTGCTTACCATGATGCGTGCAGTGTCAATGCTTCGGAGAGCCTATACCGAGTTGGGCATCACAAAACGCACTGTCAGAATCCACCTGAGGTAACTAGCAAGGTACAAGATACTGAGCATTCCCGCGGGCTGCGACCGCAGCCCGTAGCGTCATACCTCATCACGGGTGCAGTTAAGCTCCTTACTCTACTCTCTACCTGATAGTCCTACAGGGTAATACTTTGAATGGAGATCGCATGCAAGACATTGCAGTGCATTATAACGATACGACACGATCATACATCCCAAACATCAACGTCCAACATATTGTACAAGTCTCTGACGTCCTTCTCCTCAGCAGGCCGCAGCTCCCTTCGAGTGCGCACAACGATCTTCCCATCTGCGCGCCGATCAAACGCCCACGCGTCGTTTCGATCATGCAGTATACGAAGTGTCGGACAATGTATAGCGAACAAACGCGGCAACGTGACCGAGCTGTCGTCCTCGAAATAATCTCGGTTCTCTGGGTGGAAAGCCACGGCCCGGGCTCCCTGACTCTGCCGATCACGCCGAGTATTGAACTCCAGCCATTCTGCCCAAGCAGCGGCCCGGTTCTTGTCAACATGCGCGTATCCGTCTTCATTCTCCGTCTGGTAGAATGGAGAGTACGAAAGGGGCGAAAGATCGCTGTTGAACCCGAAGAATGAGAGTTTGGGGAAGGCCCGCAGCGCCGCGGCGTACTCGTACGCGGGACATGGCCAGTCGACGCGTTCTTGTTCCACCCAGTGTCTTTGCTGATGCATCAGCGTCAATGACTCCAGATGAGGCAGTCTGGCGATCGCGCCGAGGAGGTCGGTCCGGGCGTAGTGCAACCGGGACAGGCGAAGAACCTGGATAGACGCACGGCTTAAAGCGTCAATGAGCTCAAAAGCCATGTCACGCTTGAGTAGGGAGCTCGCGACATCGAGACGGAAGTGGGTAAGCGGCAGCGGCAGTGGTGCGAGAGCGGTTGCTGCAGCGTTCAAAGCCCGGATGAGGATAGACACGGAGCTAGCCTGAACGCCCTCCATAATGACTCGGGTCAGGGTGCGGAAGATGTTGTTTGACGCAAGCGCAAGACTCGCTGGGATGCGGCTGGCGTTCGCTTCGAGGCTTGAAAAGCAAAGATAAAGCAGTTGTGGGCAGAGCGGGATGATCTCCCACATCCGGAGACCCAGGCCGTTCTGAAGCCTGAGGTGCAGGTTGCGCAGAGATGGAGCGGGCAACCTATGAGGTCGGTATCTGTTAAGTACACATGTTCAAAGATCGCGGGGGTCTGTTACTGACCAAGAATGGGGATCCTCTTGTACACGTGCGCTGACAGTGAGTGTCTGCAATGTCGAACTCGATCGTATTGCGTCCCAGACGATGCCGTTCAAGTCGTTCGAGCAGAAGCTCAGCTTCTCCAAGGGGCATCGGAAGATGAAGAAAACCAGACGCGAAAGCAAGGGTTGTAGCAGCTCCTCTGTCGAGCGGCCCGTTAAGGCAGCGAAGCCTCCGAAAGCTCGACGAGTGTCGCTGGTCCAACTATCGTAAAATACGAGCTCCTTTGTCCTGTCCAGAGCATCCGGGCGCTGCCGTAACGAGTCCATGCGTCGAAGAACTTGGGTACGATGTATGTCCACCTTCTGACGAAGGTACTGACTAATACCGTCTACATCGCGGACCGAGGCTTGCTGCCAGTCTATATCGTCCTCGTAGACGGAGAACCTGAAAGCGCAGTTCTGTGTTGATGATCAACAACGTCGACCGTCAACACCGGGGCTACTGGCTTACCGTGTACACGCCCGCGAGAGCTAGCGTACGTAGTTGGCGACACGTCGCGAATAGCTGCTGTAGACTCTCGTCGTCACAACAGTCTGCTATCTTCTCCAGAATCTCGACGGGTAGTTCCAGCAGGTTCAGCTTTTGAAAGCGCGGCTTTGGATGATCGACGAGGTACTTCATACACTCAGCTACAGTTCTCGACTTAGCACTCTGTGTATCCG